ACAGCAGACTCGGGACGGCTCGGCAGGCCAGCGTCTGGGTTGGGGATTCTGGGGTTCCGCTAGAGCTGTAGCTGTGCCAAAAAAATTGTTTGGATGTGAGAATAGAGAAAATAACAAATTGCAATTAATGTCAACAGCTTCTTCATTATCTGTCCGGTTGACTTGGCAACAATTTTTGGCATGTTGATCGACTGCTGGCGAGCTGACATCGGCTCATGCCTTTCGGTCGTTCATTGTTTTTTGATTCTAATGCCCCGCCTCGCAGCTGACTGACGCCTTACCTTCTGCCTTATACTGCAAAGCCCCCCTGGCAGCTGCGTAACCAAACCGGCTCGTACATTGGCCTGGGCCCTTGGCTGGCACCTTTCCCTGGCTCTTCAACCTCCTTGGCTTTTGATCGGACGATTGACAAACCGAACCGCCACACCCACTGACAAAACACTGTGCACTGCCACCGTTGCCGTCCTACTTTCCTCCTCTCCTTGGGCGAAAAGAAACTCCTTTGAGAGCCGTTCATTTGACTGATCTTCCTTCGTTTTCTCCCGACGCCCAGCCCTATAAGTCGATCTCTCAGCGAAAATCACGAATATTATACATTAATATTTATGGCGGGCTCGAGTACCTAACTAGTACCCTTAACCTCGAGGTCGCATCCCATCTTTTGGCAACACACTCCAATATCTCCCTCCCTAAACGGCCCTTTGTCCCGATCATCAGCGGGGGATGCGGGCAGCGTTCGAATCTGTAGATTATGATTTTTAACAAGGCCTTCGCGGCCGTTGTTACAGCTGCTAGCTTGCTTGTACAAGATGCGATAGGTATGCGCCGCCGCTCCTCGAACACCCCCGCCCCCCCAACTGCCGCATTGTTTCCGTTGTTCCCTAGCTCACAGAGGCCTTATAACAGACTCCCTGAAACGGAGCCCGTATGTCGTCCGTAGCTCGAGTCGAACACCCTGTTATACGAACACCATCGCACCGGGTACATGGCCCACTCGTCCCTTCGATGTATCCTTCGTCATCTCTACTACCCAGCAAAAGGATCCGCTTGTCGCTGGAACCGAACCACGATCTAATCTGGCGGAGACGCGACGATTCATTTTCTTGCCGCTGATGGCTCTGTCCGCCGATCTCAGCCTATCGAGAGGCAAGACCACCGGCTGTTCAGGGGCGAGAGCTTTGTTCGGCGAGACGGGGAGTCGGAATGGAAGCATGTGGGCTGGAGTCGGATTCAAGGTGCGCCGCGACCGGTGACGAGCCCATCTTCGACGGCGTCTTCACCATCGATGGGAAACCACCACCACAATTCAGACGAACGCTGGCCTACCATCAGACTTTCGGTCAGCGGGGACCCAGAGCTTGACGATGGCGATGACGAGTACATGGTTGTTTGGAGGGATACGGACATCCAGTCTCCGGGACGCGATGACTTGAAGCGTGATTTGGACGGTGCGGTGACGTGCGGCTCAGACAATCTCCTACACAACAAGCATGAGAACAACATCGTCTATCGAAGCATGGATGAGGCGATCCCGGACACATCGGCCTGGCAAATCAGCCCGAGGGCATTGTTTGGACGTCAAGCCGACACGTCAGGTGGTAACGGCGCCGGCGTAAATCTGCAAAACTCCATTGGCTCGACTCAAGGCTGCCCAACTACAAGGAAGGTGCCCTGCTCGGAATTGCTACCGACTGTTCCTACAGCGAGCCCTCGGATCGGAAAAGGCTGTGACGGATAACGTCCTCCAGCTAGTGAACGCGGCATCGCAACTCTACGAGTCCACTTTCAACATCTCGTTAGCCCTCCAAAACCTGACCATCAGCGATGCCGGGTGCCCTAGTACGCCGCCACCGTCAGCGCCCTGGAACAGGCCTTGCAACGACGGTACGGACGTCGACGCCCGTCTCAGCCTATTCTCACAGTGGCGAGGGCAGTGGCAAGATACCAACGCCTTCTGGACCCTCTTGTCTACCTGTGGTTCTGGGCCCACGGTCGGTCTAGCGTGGCTCGGCGCCGTCTGTCAACAAGGGTCATCGACGCGGGGCAACGAGACGAGTGCGTCCGCCAACGTTGTTGTACGAACCTCGACCGAGTGGCTGGTGTTTGCCCACGAAACGGGCCACACTTTCGGCGCGGTGCACGACTGCGACTCGAGGACATGCAACGACGGAAGCGTCCAGAGACAAGAGTGCTGCCCGCTGGGTACGGGTACCTGCGACGCCGACGCGCAGTTCATTATGAACCCCTCGACAGGCAACGGCATCACCCAGTTCTCGCCCTGCAGCATCGGTAACATTTGCAGTTTCCTCGGCCGCACTCCTAACCGGTTTAGCTGCCTATCCAGCAACAGAGGCGTGACGACCTTCACAGGCGCTCAATGTGGCAATGGCATCGTCGAGCACGGCGAGGAATGCGACTGCGGCGGTGCCGAGAGTTGCGCCAACAACCCCTGCTGCGACGCCGCGACGTGCAAGTACACGACTGGGCAGTGTGTGCGACCCAAGCAGCGAAGAATGCTGCACCTCGCAGTGCAGTTTCATGAACAACGGCACCGTCTGCCGCGCCAGCACGGGCTCCTGTGACCCGCAAGAAACCTGCTCTGGCAATTCCGCCGGCTGCCCTGCCGACCTCAGCGCCCCCGACGGCCAGTCCTGCGGCGACAACGGCCTCCAGTGCGCCTCGGGCCGCTGCACGTCGCGCGACCAGCAGTGCGCTACCTTCATGGGCGCGGATACGACCACGTCCTGTTCGTCCTCGGGCTGCGGCCTGTCGTGCCACTCGTCCAAGCTTGGCGCCAACCAGTGCTACGTCCTGAACCAATACTTCCTCGACGGCACCCCCTGCGAGGGCGGCGGCCGCTGCGACAACGGTAACTGTGTCGGGTCTTCCCTCACCCAGCAGATCCTCGACTGGATCAACAACAACAAGCAGATCTCCATCCCCGTCTTCTGCGTCGGCGGCGGCCTCCTGCTCCTCGTCCTCATCAGCTGCTGCTGGTCCTGCTTCTCCCGCCGCTCTCGCTCCCGCAAGGCCGCCCCCTCCCCGCCCCGCGGCGGCTGGGGCGGAAACCCTTACTACGGCGCCCGCGGCGTGCCTGGCGGAGGCGGTCCCGGCGGCGGTTCCGGCAGCGGCGGCTCCACGCCCATGAGGCCTGGTCCTTCCTACGCACCGGTGCCCCCGCCCCCCCAGGGCACGGCGGGCATGGGCCCCGGCCCGGACCCCTATTATGGGCAGCAGGGTCAGCAGCAGGGACAGCGGTGGGAGCCGATGCGTACGCAGAGTTTCCGCTATGCGTGATTGGGCGGCCGGCGGCGCGACTACCCGGTGAGGTGAGGGCTTGGGCGGTTTTTTGGCTCTTTTGAATCGGATAGGTGGAGGTGGGCTTGCTTTTTGGACATAGATTTGCCTCTCCTATGGCATGGACTGGAAACTTGCATAGCCGGCGTTTTTTGGTTGGGAGGGAGGGAAGGAAGGAAGCTTTGAATTTTGTTTAGCAGGTATTATTTACTGCCTTTATTCTTGTTGGAATCCCGTTTTCCTAACCCCTCAGCGTTGAATGTGCCTGTGTGCGTAGACACGGGGGTATATTATGAATGATGACATACTTTTTCCGGGGTCCAAGTATACCAGTACGCAACTTTAGCCTGGGTTTTGATACTTTTTCGGGGCTTTCCTTTTGGCTGAGGGGAAAAGGAGTGTTGCAAAGTACGCAACGCCATCACGGCATATATCAATGCGGAACGCTTCACTCGAGGCTAGTCGATGTGGAAGGGAATGATGTTGCTCGCTGAGTTCATTATCGCCGTGTTACCGCCCTACTTGTATGTTTTCATTTGGTTCTTCCCACCCTCATCGACCTCAAAATGAATGTTTTCAAGCATTAGCGCTTAATATCGACCCACCCATCTCTCGCGCAATCCTATTCGGCACCCTAGTTCACCTCCAATCTCCCAACGCTTTCTGATAACGGCGGACCCTGTTCGGGCGGCGGGTTCAACCAAGACGAAGTTGACTCTCAATACTGTGATTAATCCGTTTGTTTGTGTCAGGGTGGACCCTGCAACCCGTGCCCTAGTGGCTGTATATCCAACAGTATGTAAGGCGGGACGCTTTCTCCCCTCGCTCCAATTGTCACAAGAGAGACCTGAACGCTGTGGGCAAGTCTCCAGATGACTGAGATCAAGGTCTGGACAGGGCCCTTCAGCAGTCTGCGCGTGACCCGAGTGATGATTTGGGCCGCCTGGTAGCTTATGTACAGTAGTAGCCAGGTACCGAGTAGCCAAAACACCATGGCAATGCCAATGAAGGTGAGGAAATAGAAAAGAACGTTAACCGGTAATAGGGCCCACTAAGTCTTTGGGGTGATGGTGATAATTTTCCCCCAGTGCTGTCGATCGTCTCCTCTGGGCATGCTCTCTGCAACCGGGCCTTGTGTAGGGCCGTGTAAAAGAAGTCTCGTGCTTCGCATGAGAGACGGACTAAGCGGGCGATGATGGGAACCTCGGTTCGGAGGAGCTGAGTCTTGCCAAAGCCGACAACACAAGACTCCTCCGTTGCTTGAATGTTGACGCTGGAGACGAGGTCCCACATCAGGGTAATAGGGCGAAACATAATGTGCTAATGTTGGTTGGTAGCTTTCTGTGAAGATGAGTTGGTGGCTCTAGCCCTGCGGTTGCTTGGGGAATAGTTGAGGGTTTCAACGAGTGTAGGATGGTCAGATGCGCGGTCGGCGTACCCCACCTATTTCTCGTCGTAGCCACAAAGCATCTTCGTGAAGTGAAGACGAGCAGCGGCGATGCTCTAGGTGGGGTATTAGCATGATACTTGTTCGGCTGGGCTGAGAGAAGATGGAACACTCACCTCGCCTGTCGACTGGGCGTGCATCATGAGCAACTCCGGGTCGTCCAGGAACGTGATGGCCTTTTTGCGGCGCTCAACACGAGAGAAGTCTTCCTTCTCAACACTGCGGTAAAAAGGAAGGAGTCAGTCAACGAGAGGAAGTCCACATGAACAATGCAGGAGAAGCTCGCTCACCGGCCGCTTCCGAGCCGTAACGTTGTTCCGGAACCCGATTCGCGCCCACCATCGGAGCCTTCTCCGGATTGGTATGGGTCTTTACCCCTGGCCTGGCGGTCTCTCATCTGGCGGGTAAAGTTGTTGCCATCCACGTTCGAAGATGATGCCGGCGAGCCAGGGGTTGCGAAGGCCTGGCTGAATTGACTTCTTCCCGCAGCCGACCCCGGATTTGGAAAGCCATACATCGTCGAGCTTGAGGGATTGCTGGAAGACGCGTTGGGAGTGGTCGGCATGGTGATAATCTCTCGCAGGTCTCACTCAAACGCTGGAATTATGATATGGTGAAGTGGCTGAAGAAATAAACCGAAGTTCAAGTCGTTATGGGTTATTTTGTAGATGGAAGGAGGGCGGGGTTGGCCATTCCCAACACCAAGAACCGCCGCCCCGCAGGTATCAAAGATGCAAGGATATATCAAAGCTGGAAGAAACCATGTCCCAGCTAGCTGACGAATCCGAGGATCGCTTACCCCTCCCAAGTTTTGCCATCGGTCGATTACCGTAGTCCAGCGTCGAGTCGAGTGCATTGTGCTTGTTGGAATAAGTTTCCTTGCCAGGGCGCGGCTAATGGCGGTATCCCATAAACATGTTGAACGGAGCGTGGAGGAGCTTTGGTCAATGCGTCGATCGCTGATTTCTCGACGGGCGCCGCATCTGAAATTAAAAATAAGAGGACAGTTCCGTAGCAATTCAACCTCATCTCGCCCTTAAAGATATCAGCTCTCCACAGCCAGCGCCTTCGCCCCAACCAGCTTGGCTTCCTTCCCCTTCCCCTCAGTCGTAACCACCCAATACTCCGCCTTCACCCCCTCTCTCCCAACCCGATAGACCCGCACATCATTCCCCTGACCAGCCTCCCTAACGGCGTCTACAACCTCCCCATACTGCCCATTCGGGTCCCAGTCCGCCGGGTCCATAATCTGCACGTCCGCATTCTCCGGATCCCAATGCCGGATCAGCTCCGCAAACTCCTCTGCCACATACCAGGTTAGCAGCCAACCTCCCACAAACAAGCCAGCGTAAACAAGCCAAAAGAACCATAAAAAGAGAGAGCGAACCCACCCTCATCAGGCAACCCCTTCCCCGCCTCATCCCACGCCAGCGCAACCGCCTTAAACGGCTCGTCCGCGTCCGAGACATAGTACACGCCATCGCCACCACCGCGGTGCCCACACAGCCTCGCGATGGGCTCGGGTACCTCGACGCCGTCCTCCGTCGCCCTAAACGTATGATGCTTCTGCGCGGCGTCGTCCGCCCCAGCGCCGGCGGCGACGCCAGCGGCGGGGTCCTCGTTCGCCTTGTTGAGGAAGGTCATGTAGTCCTGGTCCGAGGAGGACGCCATCGCTGTCGTTGCAGTGGTTGTGAAGGATCGGTTTGGTGTGGAGGAAGACGCTAGCGGCAGTCTTCTTTGGTGGATGTTCGCGGTGTTCGGGACTCGAGAAAGAGGGCTTGTCTGGTGTTGAGGAGAGCGGGGTGGTGGTGTGGTTTTCGAAGCCGGGAAATCGCAGAGTTTGCAAAAATTTCGGTTAGGTAAGGGGAATGACGCCCGGTGGCCTTCGCTTGATCGTTGTGGTTGTCGTGGTAAGAACGACCGGGAAAGGCGACGACAAAGAATCGCGACCATTTTGGAGGGGTCTTCAAGGTGCGCGCAGGTTGGGTGACGATGATGTAACCTCCTTGCTCTGCCAGGAATTTCGGCCAACGCCGGCGGGGCAACTCGTCTGTACTGATTGGGTGAACTCACCATCCATAAAGAGCACGTCAAATCAAGCATTGCGATATCAAAGAGCCTGACAGCGTTTCTTCTACACGACATATGTCGAAAATTCATCACAGAGCAGCTGTCAATGGCAATTGGTTCATTTTCCATTCCTCTCATGCAGCCTTTTACTAAGCTTAAAATGCTAGGTAGAATTCCGTACCCCAACCCAAAGAGCAATGAGACCGTGACACCAATGCCATTGTAAACCGATAAAATCAACAAGAAACCGCCAAGGCTTATGCGGCGACGGCCAGATCCTTCTTGAGTGTGCCCTGGTACTGCTTCTTCTCGGCAGGGGTCTGGAAAGCACCGTGACCGAACTCGGACGAGGTGTCGATCCATTTGAGCTCGACCTTCTCGAGCGCCCTCCTGGAGGTGTGGGTGAACATCGACTTGCGGAGGGTCATGACACGCTTCTTGACGCCAGGAACAGAGCCCTTGACCATGACGAAGTCGTTGTTGACCTCGCCGTAGCGAACGAAGCCACCCATGCTGCTCAACTCGTTAGCAATGTTCTATGCGAATTGCAACATGACCTTGAATTGGGTAGAACGTACGGGGTGATCTTCTTCTTGGTGACATCGATCTCGGTGGCGGCGCTGTCGTCGGCATCGCCCTTGCCGATACGGTAAACCTTGTGGTTGACCGAGGTACGGTGGTGGTAACCCATCTGACCAGCACGGGCAACCGTCCACTGGACGTGGGAAGGATGCCAGGCACCGATACAAGCGACCTTGCGGAGACCCTTGTGAGTCTTGCGCGGGAGCTTCTTGGTGCCCCAACGAGCGGTGACACCGGAGAAACCGTGACCCTTGGTGACGGCGATGACGTCGATCATCTCGTCCTTCTCGAAGATCGAGTCGACCGAGACGGGCTTCTCGAAGAGGCCGTGGCCGAACTCGACCTTGTCGGCGACGGAGCCGCCGTTGATCTGGATCTCCATAAGGTGGGCCTTCTTCTGCTTGAGGGGCGTCTTGCGGATCTGGGTGTGCGCCAGGACGCGGACAACGGTGCAGTACTTCTTGATGCGCTCGAGCTCGCGGGTGATGGATGCGCCGCTGTTCTCGGAGTGCTTCTTGGCGTACTTGGTAAAGGCCTTCTTCTTGCTCTTGTACCAGTTCTTGTAGAAGCGGCGCTTGACCTCGTCGCTCAAGTGCTCAGCCCAGACAGTGGTGAGGGAGCGCAGGCCACGGGGAGTCTCGATGTACTGTACTGTGTTAGACAATCGACCTTCTCTTCATCCTCGGCCGGACAGCAATGACTTACGCCAACCAGACCCACAACCATCATCTATAAAAGATGTTAGCCATTGACACAAAAAGAGCCAAGCGGGCTGAGTTGCGCGTACAGGTGGGGTATCAATGATTGTCACAGCCTCCACGACCTCCTTCTTGTGAGCCTTCGCACCCGGGCGGTCGAGGTCGCGGACAATCGTGGTCATGCCGGCCTTGTAGCCCATCGCGGCCGTCAGGTGGACGGGCTTCTTGGCGTCATCCTTGGGGAAGCTGTCACAACATCGACGGTCAACTTCGGCCCTTCTGAAACATGCAACTTTCCCATGAGTAGAGATTGGGCTCATGATTTCCACTTACGACTTGACCTTTCCTCTGTGACGGGCAGCGCGCTTCCGCGGCAGATACGCCAGAGAACCGTGGCGAGGGGCCTCGTACTCTGCATGACAAGTCAGCCTCCGTTGGAAATACCATCCAGTTGTCGGGTTCAATTCGCAATGCTCGATCTCGTTGGTCGCTGGGTGACGCAAGAATTCTTCGCATTGAGAATGAAGAGTATAGGGGAGGCGACGAGGGTCTACTCACTCCGGTGAGACATGGTTGCTGATGTCTTCGGTTGGCGTGATGTTTTGGTCAAAGAATCCCCCAGGTCCGGCTACGAAAGAAAAAAAAGGCTAGAATTTGGAGTTGGATTTTTGTGTGAGATGGAGCTCAGCGCTCGGGCCAATTGCAGCGGAGCCCTAACCTGGGCTTGCGGCCAGGAGTGGATTCTTTCTTTTTTTACCGCAAAATCTGTGATGGTTCAAATCACGTGACAACCCATATGTTGTAAACAACCCAACTCAACAAGTCGGCCTCTTTCGAGGGTCTCAGGCACAGCAGATTCATTAACCATGGAGGTTTTTGGAGGAATTGGTCGCCCATTTACCGGCTCGAAACTCTAGTTATTTTTATAGAACATGAGTGTCACCTTATTCTTCATGTACAATATAGTACGCCTCAGCCATATGAAAGTGTTGTGATGAATAACTAGTGCTACCCCAAGTTACATGTCTGCCTGACGATTTTCTCCGTAACCCATGCTGTCGACGATAGTCCACCATCCCATGTGACCATGCCCAGCCGACCAGCAAAAACGTGATACGGCATTGACTACTGGGGACTATTAGCCCCCTGACAACACCTTGGACCACTATGTATCACTCTGACAACGCATTAACAAAAAAAGAAAACGCAAAGAGAGAACAACCGATAGGTCGACGAAGGCCTTCATTGTCGAAAAAGCCAGAGTTGCGTGAGCGTGACCTAATATAAACCTCGAAGGGAAGCAACGGCAGCTCGCAAAAACATCCCCGAGCTTGCCACATATCACCCCGTCAACAGGAACCTGGATCCAAGTGCACCTGCTCGCGCCAGCCGCGCTTAGTTGCCATTTATAGTTGTAGTCGTGGACGTTCCATTCTTAATCTCGGCCGCCGCCGCGGAAGCCGAACCAGGAGCAGGGCCCGAAGCAATGGCCGCTTTCTTGTCTTCCTCCCCACTGTCGTCATAGTTTTCATCCACATCCATTGTGCGGGCAGCCCTCTCAGGCTCACTGGCAATGGGGGGATGGGCAGCGGGAGGGAGTTCCATCCGCCTCTCCTCAGGCCCGGGCGGGTATTCTTTCTTAGCTGGCCCAGCCTGGGGCCCGGGGGCTTCATGCATGAGGCCCTGCATGGACGACGGGCCTTGTTGCATAGGCGGTAGATGAGCAGAAACCGAGTGCGACTGAGGGTGGTGGGCAGCTTCAGACGGGTGGTACCCTTCGTTGCCATGACGTTGTTCGTCGGCGCGACGCATGTCGTCCGCCCGACGTTGCTCTTCAGCCCGGCGAGCATCCTCCATGCGACGCTCATCAAAACGCCTAACCTCCGATGAATTACGCCGGTATGGCTCAAGGCGCGGCGAGGTGGATGGGCGGCGGTGGCGGATATCTTCCATGCGCGCCCGGGTTTCTTCAGTCGACGGCTTCTTCGCTTCCCGATCATCCTCCCACTCGCGCATCCTCTTTGGGCCAACCGAAGGTGGGCGAGGGTCGTGTTCCCGGTGAAGAGCAGCATCAGCGGGCATACCGGGCTGCGGCGGAAGAGGTACACCAGGCTCAGGGCCATGGGGACCTGCTTGATCGGGATGGGCCGAGTACGGCGGCTGGTGCTGAGGGTAGGCTGATTTAGGCGACGGCATACGGTTTTCGTGCATAGGGGGGCGCCCGTCATTCCGAGGGCTGGGGTTGCGATACGGCATCAGGGGATTCGCCGAGTTCCCACTCGGGCCAGGTCCTGAGCTGGGCTGAAGCACGGCGACAGGGGTGTGTCCGCCGTAGTTCGGGTTCCTAATACGAGGAGGTTGCGATCCCGGGGGAGGCTGACGGGGTTGTTGGGTCTGCTGGACCTGTTGTTGCTGCTGCGGTTGCGGTGGAGGTGGAGGAGCTGCGTAGTGAGCTGGGGGTGGAGGCGATGGGCCCCGTCTGAGTTGCTCCGGTACCCTGTTGGCGTCCTGATAAGGCCTCATTTGCTGCTCTGGTTGGGGGCTGGGTGGTCGTTGACCGGGCCCAGCTTGCCCGCGAAACGGCTCACGATCGGCTGCGTAGGGGTTCCGGGGCTGTGGTGGAGGGTTTATATCAGAGATCCTCCCCGCCCACGAGTTTGGCCCAGGGCCTGGAGCACCGCCATTAGCCATCGCCTGTTGCTGCTGCGGCGGCGCGCCGGAGCCTGAGCCGGCCCATTGCGGTCCCGGGGGACCAACGGCGCCAGCCGCTTGGTAAGCCTGGGGATGGACATCAGTGGGGCCCGGCGCGGCGCCACTGGTTTGTCCGTTGCGGAGCAGCTGCAGTCGGGTTTTGATATGGGGGTTCGAAGGGTCCAGTTCAGCCGCGCGTTGGTACGCGTCGAGGGCATCGGCGATTTGGTTGTTGCACGACTCATACTAAAGGTCCCGAGTTAGCATGTCAAGCAGACACAGAGGGGATATTGTTGCTTACCAAGGTGCCGAGGTCATACCACACTTCCGAAATCCATGGATTGAGGCGGATTGCACGCGAGTAAGCATCAAGTGCATCACGATACTGGTTGATCTGATAATACAGAACACCAATGGAGCACCAGAACGTGGGGTTCCGGCCATCGCGGTACACAGCTTGTTGGTATGCTTCATAGGCCTTGGGGTACTTCTGCATTTGCATGTAACAGCGGCCGAGAAGGTACCAGCTTTGGGCATCAGAGTTATCTACCGAATGTTAACATGCTTTGTCATCATGGGCGAAAATCAGGACACCCACCAGCTGCGACCGACTTCTCCAGGTATTCAATAGCTCGCTCCTGGCTGTCAAAATGCTGGCTCTGCGTATGATGGAGCCAGCCCAACTGTTGCAGAACCTTGGCGTGGTTGGGGTCACGTTCGAGGACGCGGTGGTAAGCCACCTTCGCATTTTCAAACTGGCAAGCGTTAGCACCAGGAGTAGCGGGCCAGTCACCGGCAACACGTACATCTTTCTGTTGCTCATGAACGTGGCCAATCTGAAACCAGATATCTTCTTCTGTGAGCGGCGTCGGCGGCGAGTTCACGATGTACTTGAAACACTGGGGGGGACCGAGTCAGCAACTGGCGATCGTTTCTCGAGTCATGCTTAGCGGCTCACCTCGAGTGACTCGTTGTACTTTTGCTGCTGTTTGTAAATGATGCCTAGTCGAAAGTAGATCTCGTGGGCTTTGTCAAAGTCTGGCTGCATCTTCATGACCTCGGCAAATGCGTCCTCGGCGTGGTCCAGCGAACCATACCTGTCGTAGAGGATGCCAATGCCGTACCAGAGCCGGGGTTCCTATCATTTACTTCTGTGAGGATGCTGGTGAGTAATAAGATGAGAGAGGTAACAAACCTTTGGGTTTGGGAGGTGGACGAGGGCAGTTTGGTAGGCGTTGTAGGCTTGCTGCAAGTCGTCCATCATCAAGTAGCAATGTCCTATCCAGTCCCGTTAGCAAACGACCAACAAACTTGCAATCAGCGCACGAACCGAGACAACCCCACGCGTCTCCGTTCCTTTCGTCCAGCTTGAGAATGGCATTCAGATATTCGGCGGCCTTGGGGAAGTCCTCGCGTGTTCTCAGGACTGAGCTCATGGCGTTCATGGCTGGGATCGAGTTGGGATTGGTTCGAATGGCGCGCTCGTACGAAGCCATCGCGTCGTCAAGGTTACCCATCTGTTCAGCAAGGCCACCTGGAATGGAGTGTTAGCTACGGCTGACCTCTGGTCAACGCGCGGTTTGCGCGATTACGTTGTCAGGGGAGCGCATTACCTAATTGAATCCAGATCCCCTCGGTCTGCTGGAGGAGCACCTGGCGCGAGGACGAGAAGGACTGTGGCGGGACGGGGGCCCGCGCTGGACCTGGTGGCCCATGATGCATCTGCATTTGCATCGGGGGAGAAGGGTGATGGCTTGTCATGATGGCCGACTCCGCCTAGATGGCTCTAGGTTTTAACACAATTCGAGGAAGCGGTAGACTGGGCGCAAACAACACCAAGTTCCGAATAAAAACACGATGTTTCAAGGTCGGACGGAAGTTGCGACGAGGCGCGAATAACGGATTTCGATAATCTTTTCTGCAGAGTTGCGATCAACTCAACTCTGCAGCACTTTCCAATGGCGCACCGAAAGGTGCCGAAAAACAACAAAAGGGGCCAACGAAGAAATGCAAATGCGACGCAGAAAGTCAACAACTGCGCAGGTATTCCCTGTTTGATGCCCCTGATCAAGTGGCTGCTGGCACGGCTCGGGTAGTCGAGAGGGAGAGTGAGGGAAGGCAGAGCACAGCATGGAAGCCGAGGAGAAATCTCGGAATGGGGAGGAGTCGGGCTGGGGAGACATTTCGTCCACCCGTCTGAGGCCCGCAGAACACCTAACCCACAAGTGGCAGGGGTATGCAATTGTCTTCCCGTTCATGTCTCGCAGAGCAGCCAAGGATAAGCGGGTCGCTCAAAGGTCGAAATACCTCTGCAGGAGTCCCGCACCGTCATCCGCCGCTAAGCCGACCCCCCTTCTCGCGAATTTAGGCAGGTCCTACCTCGGACGAAATCGTCACCTCAGCGAAACAAACAAACGAGGATCATAGTGTAGAAATTGGAGACAACCTTCTCCGCACCTGCCCGTGGAGTCGTGTCAACCAACATCTTTCACTCAGGGCAATTCAAGCGTTCCATGGTTTTATCTCCGTTCCGTAGTTATAACCCATGATTGATACGGTAAAACGCCTTTCTTTCGCACAAGAAAAGGATACCTCACACAAATATACACTACCGAGATGGTATTCCATCTTCTGAACCGCAACCCCGGCGTTAAAGCAACGAGAATGTTCCCGCATCTTGGGGTGGGGTGCTGACACGTCGTCAGAGCGGCATGTATCAAGTACACAAGGGAACATTAATTTAGCCCCACATCCAGCCTCTTCCAGGGGAGCGTGTTTCCGGAGGGAGCGGCGGCACCATTTCGTTTTAGCGTGTGTGGCGACTGCTGGGTAGCACGGCCTGGGTCCATCCCATGCATCCCGCCAAGAATTACAGGGGTCCAGAGCGCTTTCCCCATCGCTTCGTCACCAACCCGTGCAACCCAACCAGGGTGGGGAATAATGGGGGTGGGATCCACTTCAGGGCTTTGCTTTTCTGGTGTCGGAGAATAACCGCCCCCGCGAGACAGAAAAGACAACCTGGAACGGGAGGACAATCTGGATAACTGTGTGAGGAGCCTGAACACTGTATCCCGGGTGATCATGCGAGATATCCTGACATTGTAACCAACCATCATTAACGGCGCCCATATAATCGCTTGTCTCTCCCCAACTTGATTGGCAAGCAATGGAAACTAGGTATTGACGGCCTCCCTCATCATAGAAACGAACAAATCATAGTTGCTCGAACCTATCCCGTGGCAAAAAGCGGGATATGTGACCTTCCCTTGGGCAGTTTCCCCTTCATGCGCCATTCTCTTGGTTTCTAGCGGAAGTCGGCCTCATTCTGGGCAACTCGCACTACTTCCCTTCCATACATCCACTTCAAAGCTCAGGCGTTCGTGGCACGACCGCGGCCTGGAGAAAGTTCAGTTGTCACACTTGTGGGAAGTGATTGTGGAGAGTCATGCCGACACGAACAAGGTGAAGGACAAAGCCTCGGAATGAGCCGTTACCTCTCGGGAACGGGTTTGAGTCTCGGTCTTCCGGGTCACGACCTACGTCTCCAACTTCTGCACAGTGATCGGGCCATACAATTTCGTGGTTAGTGCAACCTCGCCGTCCGACGTTCGATCAAAGAAACCGATTATGAAGCGTGTGGCACCTCGAGTGTAAATTTGCCCATCTCACTTAGCATCGTTCGTTTCCGGTAAATCCATTGGTATTTTCCGGAGCCCGCTTCGCTGCCAGGTTGCTTACCTACCTGGGCAACCCGGGCCGAATGGCAAGATATCCGAACCGCCAAGCGCAACACCCGGCAGCAGGATATTTACTATGAATATATTAATCCATCTCGCTGCGCTGTGTCGTAACATGCACTACAAATAGAGTGGCGGAAACAGCCTTGTCGGTACAATCCAGCACATCCTAGCTTAAACCAGGCGTGAAAGTCATTGAGACGAGGACTCGCTAAGCTCGGCACCCAGCCGACGCCCTCATGAAGCCACCGAGGAAATGTGAACGCAGAAACAAAAGAACACAAAAGTTTAGCCACTTAGCAATACGGGCGGCGATTTTACGGTATCTTCAGGCGTGCAGCTTAACGGCTACCGTTAAAACAAGAGCGGTCGGGGATTACCAACTGTTTTATCCTTCGCTGAGGGCTGTTTTTTCTCGTCATCAGCTACGAGACCGGGGAGCCAAATGGCGAGCCGAAGGAAGATCTCGGTAGTAAGGAAGGGAAATTGGCGACGGTTAAACTTTATTGATAGCTAGTAGATCATCATCCCGATGGGTTGGTACTCGAAGAGGGGCGCGATGAAGCCGCCATGTCCCCGAGACCGTCGCGTAACCCCCACACTCAGCGCGGTGCGCTATCGCATATTAATCGGCGGAGCAAACGAGACCCGCTAGCATCTGGGATGTCAAGGGAAGACAGCGACCTATGTACATATGTATGGTTGCATGCACTCCGTACATACACATGGACAGGCAGACATCGTAAAAAACTGGGCTGCTGCGCCGAAGCCACGACGTCGCCGAGGCGCGTGCTGACACCCACATTTCTGCAATTGAAGGATGCGAGAAATGACGGGTTGTGGGTTCGGTGGCACGGGGAAAGCGGGCCTGGAGCCACACGTCAGCAGCGGACCACCACAACCTCAGGCCTTGGCTGATGTGCAGGCCGATCAACGGAACTTTACACCGAACCCTCCCTTGCCTCCGCCCTCTGCAGAATCCAAGGGGCCTTGTTGTGATCTCACAGCCGGCTCGTGGTATTTCATTAATCCCGCCTCCCCGAGTTGAGGTTAATCATCTGCCTCACCGAAATATTCCATATAGGTAGCCGCCAGCCTTCGAAACACGGAAGCCGAGCAGACCGCCGGTTCACACCCCGAGACTCGAAAATCGGGGAAGGACGAAATTGATGGCGGTCACATTATTGACACCAGGGTCTCACACCGGGAGGCCCACTCCCTGGGCTGTTTTTGCTGGCCTGCCGTTTCAACCTTGAACTCTCGGCTCACCCCTGGTGTCCAGCACCGTCCCCAACAAGCTAGCATCGCATCATGTGTCAGAAATGTTAGCCGGGCCCTCTTTTCCGACGAGTTGATCATCAGACAAGCACAGCCTGTGGGTTCACGATGATCCTCAATCGATCCTCTCAACCAGGGAACTTGGCGCCTCCCAAGCATCTTTCTCCCAATCCGGGTGGTTCACCCATCGTGGGCGCACGACCCACCGCAGCGAGACTGGGAGGACGCAGTGCCCAGCAGGACGCCCGCAGCATGCGGGAGAGGAAGCGAGGGGAGAATGCAATGCCTGTTGGTGCGCTGCCGAGCACGTGCAGTCTTAAAGCTCTGATTTGCGTTGGAGTGCCAAGGAATGCCAAGAAGGCTTGATCGACCAGAGCACATCGCGCGGAGCAAAAGAAGAAAAGGGGAAGGTCAAGGGGGCCAAAACGCTCGGCTTCCCCAGGCGAGCAACTCCTCCCGCTTCGCCCAACCCCACTCAGCGTGCATGAAAACCGGCTCTCGTCGCAGGCCATCCTATTTGCGCTTTTTACGGGTACCGGGACAAGAACAACGCTTTGCAGCCTCAGTCAAAAGGATGAGCTATACGAAGTATGGGCGGTGTCTTCAGAGGTTCCGATTGCTGGCCCCGCCCGAGGTTGCCTGCAAGATGGATTTGCGGCACTGTGCGCAAGCCAGCGGCGATCGATTCGCTTTACCAGGGTCCGGCTCATCTCAAACGCATGCCGCGGACCCTTCCCGGCCGCGCGGGTTGAGCCAACGGACTGGCGAAGCGGGGGGCTGGTGTGGCTAGGGTCAAGCACATTGGAACCGCTTGGCGTGACCCGCTTCCCGTTTGGGCTCACCTTCGCCCCACCTCGGTGGCTTCCGAAACCCGCCGGTGGACTGGACCTGGAATTCTTTGTGATGCTTCGAACTCGAGCTCACGCAAGTTTATCAGCTTCATTTTTGAATGGGGGGATTGCGACGTTTTGTCGGGCCGAATATTTTCGGATCACCGCTACGACGCTTCAAGGTTGCCAGTGCCAACACATTAATAATATGTTGGTCTTTATAAATAAAAAGGCAGCCATCATTGGCAAGAGTCACAGCTTCTCAGACCAAACCCGGTCCCCTCCAACATTTGGACAACTATATGCCACCTGGACGCCGAGACTAGACTTCACTTGCGGGGCTGCCGTTGGCCGGCTAGAGGTAAGATACCGTGAGGAAGTGCCTTCAAGTCTCTCGTTAATGAAGAACCCAAACAAATGGCTCAAGAATATGCCATAAAACCGCGCGCCTCAATTCTAGTACATCTATTAAGCGTACAACAAACTCAAGCGCAGTGCCCCTCCCGGCCCCACGGCAAGTCCCTAGTTCTGCCAACAGACCGACATCAGCCGTAGTAATGCCCTCCCACATCTCGCAAATTGAACTGGTATCGAGTATGCGGCTCGCTCGTAATAGATAAGAAACCAGCCCCGCCCCGCCCCTCGTACCCTGCATGACCCCAACGCCAAAACGGTTGCTCAACCCCTTCAGATCCTCGAATAATTAGGGCCGGTCATAAGTGTTCGCAAAATAAAAGCCAGATGCTCCAAGCCCGCCTCCCCCTACCCTAGCTGTCCGACAACGAAGTAGGAATGGAAGCTCAACGCCATACTCGGCGGTGTGCGAGAGAAGAAAACAAGCATCCTTTACGGTTCGTTCCTGTCCGCGTCCGCGTCCGGGTTGTAATTCGTCTCGCCAAGCATCCCGCTGCCTCCCGTCGCTTGCGCCGTCATGGCATTTGGCGGCGGCGCCTGCGGCTGGCTCTGAACGGTGGGCCCCGTGGCCGAAGGAATAGGCGGCGCAACAGCAGGGGGGACCGGGGCGCTCTGCGCGCGTGCAGCGGCGGTGGCCGTCGCGGCGTGCAGGCGCTGGTCTAGTGCCCTGAGCGCGAGCGCTCGCCTCCGTTCAGCCTCGGCGCGGGCGCTCCCGGGGGCGCCGCGGTTCGTGAAGGTGTGGTGATGGTCGCCGCGAGCGGCAGAAATGTCGGCCTGGCTGAAGGGTACACATAGTCGCATCGCCACGAGCATGTTGAACACCTGCTCCGAGATGGTCGCAATGATGGGGCGGACGGGACTCGGGAAGAACTCGGCTATAGCGAAGGTGTCGCTGGCATCACCGCGAAGGGAGCTCGGTTGCGAAGTGTCAAGATCGGGGAAAGCGACCTTGTAGAAACGTAGGTAGGTCCAGCTGACGAAGAAGCCGTAGACGGCGAGGAGAAAAGAGGCGGCAGTAAGCATAGGTGTGAGGCAGAGCGCTGTGACAAGGCCGATGTAGAGCAACGGGAAGCGAGGAACGCGTAGCGAGAGGAGCCCCCGGAAGAGGGTCACTGTGTGCGCGGGGACGAGCTGGCTGAAAGCGACGAGGAAGGAGATTTGGAGGGGGATGGTCCCAGCGATGGTCATGAGTCTAGCAAAAGGGCACAAGTTAGAATACTACACAAACGGCCATAACCAAGCGACCCCCAGGAAACCAAAAGCCACGTACGTCCATCGCTCGTTGCGTGTCAGGGCAAAGAACAAGATCGAAGTGCCAAAGCATAGCGCGTTGGGAACCACCGCGGTAACAAGCAAGAATTTGGCAAACTCGCGCGAGGACCATGCGCGCTCTAGGTAACGGCCGCCATTATAGAGTGTGACGCAGGCGATAGATAAGGTAAAGACGTTGCTCTCGACGAGTGTTGTCGTCAGGAAGGTCCACGGGTAGACTAGCGATAGTTGTGGTATGAGGTTGAGGTAGGGGATGACAATCTCCGAGTTTGCCGTCCACTGCCGGTATCTGATCGCTGCACTCAGCACCGACTGTAGGCCCAACACGATGAGCACAATCCGGGTCACCGGGGGAATGTTTATTCGGGGCGGCATGGTGGGCGGGCTTCTGTTCTTGAGTCGAGACCTCAAGATTGGGACGGAGCGGCTTCTCCTTGTCAGGGAACTGTGTGCTTGCACTTTTTGGGATGGTTGGGCAAGCAGCCGAGTTTTTCCCGACCTGCTTTGATGCCTTCGGGGTTAGGGTAATTACCGTATGTTGAACCTTTGAACCGAACCACAGCTTCAAATCTTGGCGCGCAGCCTTTTTGTGGTCATGGCTGCTTGATCTGGCCATCGCGGGCCACTGACCGCCGGTGTAACCAGGCGCTTGTCTTTGTGGCCCTGTGAATTTGTGGCGGTGGATGACAGGCCGGGCTTCACTCCCTCAAGCCTCGGTCTTCTCCGCCTGGAACCCCAAAGCTATCTTGCAGCAACCTGGAAGGCACATAGAATGCGGGACTTCGAATAACTCAACTCCATCTCCTTTTATTTCCCATCGACTGCGACCCTCGCGCTTGATGGCCAGAGGCTGCCCAATCCGCACAGGTGAGGTTGGGCATCCTCATGATACCGATGACACTATGCGGGGCAACGGTAACTTCATTCGAAGTACGAATGAATATTGACACACATACCTTACATGTACACTACGCCGCAGAAACCGTGCAGCTTCCAACTGTCGTCCTGATTAACCGCCCGCTGGGTCCGCCACCCCTGAAACATGACACCCCAACCTTTTTGTCGCCAATGGGTGCGACCCTAAGACACCATCCGATGGCCCCCTTGATTGGGCAAGGTCGTGAGTTCTTTGATTCGAAGGATGGCAGTTGTTTCCTTTGTTTCCCCTGTTCCCGAGCCCCCGCAATTTCTCAGCCCTGGGACCTTTTTGCTTGTCGCACGCGTAGGGCGGGCCATTTCCTTTTGGGCCATTGTCTTCCTCCACCCCAGCAGGAAATGAAGGTCTGTTCTTCCCCTTGCGTCCTTTTCCCAAGTCCCATGGCAAGGCCTGCCTGCAGAACTGCGGCCGGGATCTCGTAAGGCGGCGTCGGGTCAGATTCGATGTGGAGGGATTCCGCCTTCCCGAAATTGGCATGTACGACAGGGACAGTAATTTCAGTACTGGCCCCACCGTTCCTCCCCAAACATTCATGTTTTCCTCCACAGCTCCGGCAGTCCGGTGAACCTCAGGCTGAGGCGAGATACCGAGCCCTATCGTGGCGAAAGGCAGCATACGATACCTCGATGCCTTCACAGTAAACGCCAGCCGTAGAGCTTGGGGTTGGAGCTGGTCCCCGCTGCCAGTTGCAATCTGAGTGTGATGGGCAAATTTTTGGCTGAAACAAGTGCGGTTCAAGCAAGGTAAGGTAACATTGAACGGGACCATCTGTCACATCGAGCATAAAATCCCGAAGGATGGGTCAGCCGTCGCACCTGCCCGGGGGAGATCTCGCTTTTAGATTCTATAGTTATCACTCGCTACAAGTAAAACAGTAATATGTTCTCGAGAATCCATGTTTAAATCGCGAGAGCTGCAGTCGAGTTCGAGAACGTGATGTTTGAAAACGTGGTGCATTACAAGAATCTCGGTGCAGTCATAACTGTATTTCGTAAAGCATTTCAACAGCCATCGCCTTCCCGAGAATGGAAGCTGCTAGCCCGAAATGGCGTGCAGGGCCAGGTCTGACCTGCATCCTCGCGCAGAGAAATCTGGAACTCTTTCGGCGGTCCACAACCAGGGTGTTTCATGGTTGAATGGTAATACAATCAATGGTCCAGCACGACAAACAAAACCCGCGTGTTTCTCTTGTCGAGTCTTTCGATAGCTTCCATCACGTGTGTTGAATGAGATAGATCAGAACTCGATCAGCGATCGATGCTCTCTGTCCGTCCCCCTGGTCGCCACGCAGCACCCCGCGGGGCTGGCCGTTTGATCTTTTACCTGCTTGGTTGGCTGAGGTGCTGGTTCCGTACCGCGATCCAAGTCGTTCGCCTAAACAAGCGGCAGGGACCACTTGGCTGGTGAGGTGGGACCCATGCCTCACGCTTGACAAACCCGCACTGGCTGGCCCGTGGTCCGAACACTGCCAATCTCAAATCTCGGCCTGGCGCTTTCGAGGTTGCTTTTCACCCTTCAACACCGAATTCTTGCCCAAAACCACCCCATTCGCGATCTGCTCATCGACCGAGCGCCCGTCATCGCGCGCTCTCATCGCTACGCCCGGCATCAATACCTCTGCTGCGTCGCTCTCGCCACTCACTGCCGAACCCCGGCGCGCCGACAATGAAGGAGCTACTTGACACGGACCGGGTCAACTTTCTTGTCTGGAGGTTCGTTGTTTTTTTTACTTCGCCGAAAGACTCAGCCAAGGGCGCTGTTTGGGGCGGTCTGATCACTGACTCGACGTTTTCGATTCCAAAATTTAGGTACCTGCTTGAATCTAGTAGGTGCACTGTCGCGGCGAGCTCTTTCTAGAGCCCCGCTGCTGCCCTGTTGCCCTCCTGGGCATTGAATCTGGGTGAGGTGAGACTGACCACCACAGATTATCGGGAGACGGCCGCCAAGCTCCAAAAAGAGTGGAGGGTGCACCAACCTCACAGGCAGTTCGATTTCGCATCTCATGTGAACACATATGCCCTGGTGTCGCTTCTGAACAAAGGCCTCATCTACGAAGACTACCAAAGGCAGTTTTCGGCGGCTGCGCACGAGGTACGGTGTCTTCTACGATTTCAGGACTTCCTCTCATTTATGGCCATCCAATTCTCTGGGCGTGCCCTCCATTCCTGTTGGGGTTGCACCCGGCATGGAATTGGCGGGTAGGTGTGCTGGTGGTGGCTTTGGGCCCAGGGGGGGGCGCTAGTGTCGGGGTTACTGACATTTGCTTGCAGGCGGCGCGCGATGTGCCGGCAACGGCCGATGCAGGTGCGCGGGGGGTGTTTGGGCCGCTAAAATTCCAGCCCGAGGTGGTGATGGACGAGGATGAGGAGGACGATGAGGAATTCGAACTGGAGGCCGAACCCGAGGAAATCGAGAACCCGCGGAAACGGGCGGTCGAGCGGCAGCATCACCGCGAATTGTCGCATGGATCCCCCGCAAAGCGACAGCGGCTCAGCAACGGCTACGAGAATGGGGTCGATTCAGCCACCACGCCAATGGAAATCGACCACCAACATCCTGACAACAACCACGCCTATCCGTCACCGCTTGAGGGCGAACAAGCCGAGTCCCCGCTCCTGCGCACCGAGGGCCCGTCTCGCGGCACGCAGGTCGAAAAGGTGCGCGATCTGACGCAGGGCACCGTATTTCTGCGACTGGGTGCCGACGAATCCCAGGAAGCGAGCGAAAACCCTCTTGTGCTCCTCTGCGAGTGGAACCCCCGGGACCCAGCCCTCTTGGCGACCGCCGGTACAGATGCGCTAGCCCGCATTTGGACATTACCCTGTGGAACCGCCCCAGACGCGGAGCCTGGTCACGTGGATTCCCCCAGCCCATCATCGTTGAGCATCGTCGAGGACGACCTCCCCAAGAATGCGACTGTCTCAGCCATGGCATGGAGCTCGAACGGAGAGCTCATCGCGCTTGGCACGGAACTCGGCAACAAGTCGCGGGTGAGCATCTGCTCTATGGATGGAACGAGCATGCACCGCTTCGACGGCCTCGACACCCCCGTCACTAATCTCTGCTGGAGCCCCAACAACAACCTCCTTCTTGCCATTAGCCCGGATCTAAGCGGTGGGATGGCGGAACCGAGAACCCTGATTCACATTTCGTCTCCTTCCAGGGTGAACTCCCTATCGCATGTCCTAGACCACGACCTCCCCTCCGACAGCCTCGATGCGACATGGATCAGCGAGACCGAGTTCCTCTTGTGTGGCGGTGACCTGCTAGTCTCCTTCCGATGCACAGAGCAAGGGATTGTGCAGGGTAGAGAGTTCCAGACGGGCACGGATGAACGCTTCAGCCTCGTCGAGTTCGATTGGAGGTCTAAGCTGGTTGCGACCGCGAGCGAAAAGGGCTACATTGACGTGGGTTTGCGATGCTGACAAAGAAAGAGATTAATGTAGCTTGCTGACAATGGTTGCGTTAGATCTGGGATGAGTCTGGAAAGCGCCGCTCAATACCTGCGCACGACGGTGGCATCACAAGCCTCAAGTGGCAACCGCTGCAAAACGACCCTGCCGAAGACGAGCGATTGCTAGTATCCGGGGGCGAGGATGGGGCCGTTCTGGTGTGGAATGTTCGAAGTGCCGAGGTCAAGCCAAAATATTCTATTACCATGCCGCCACCGCTCGCAGTCAACAACCTCTCGATGAGTCCCGACGGGTCACTCATCGCCGTGGCGACACACGACAGGATACTTGTTTGGAAAATTGGTGACCACGCCATGCCCAAGGCTAGCTGGGTGCCGCAGCCGGGCTGGCAAAGCCCTAACACGGGTACCGATTCCGAGGATGCCATTCCCTGTTTGGGGTGGGACTGCGAGGGCCAGCGCTTGGTCTATGGTTCGGAAAATAGGGTATGTAGCAGTGATAACTTGCTTATCGGCCCACTGCTGACACTTCATATATAGCTTGCCGTCATAAGCCTCCGCGAACACGAGAGGTGATGTGGGGACCATCAACAAAGTCGAGGTCGTCCCATCAATGGCCACGCCGAGAGCTCAACCCAGCAAGCGACAAACGGAAATTGCCATTGGATTCTGCGGCCGGGCGAGCACTCATTCCGTGTTTCAAATCCAGCCATATCAGGTCGAGACGGCATGTCGTCAACACGTTCGACCAGGTGATGTACGGGAGAGCCTCACCATCGAAGGATTGCGGCCGCCAACCGCGGTTCAGGCAGAGCCCCACATAAGGACGACAGTGACAGCCCGGAATAACGTCGCCTTTCGCCCTGACCTCCTTGCAAAGGGCGATCAAATGCCGACGATGTGGGCGGCCTTCGCCAAGGCAACTTAAGGTCGATTCCGGCTCCCTAGTAAGGATTATGCCAGCTTTTGCCGCGAGGACTAGGGAATAAAACCGGCCACCTCAAACGAGATATTTGACGTCCCAGTCTCCAACCAGTCCCGCCTCGTGCAGTTAGTAGGGGGTAATTGGCTTCCGGGACCACCTCCGTTGATATCTACGTCTTCGGCCTCTTGAACGGGTTACAGGGACTCCATTCATGTCCTAAATGCACAGCTGGAACCATATCGTTGCCCCTTTCACCCCGCGCATGGGCAGGACAGCATGTAGGATGGTCGCGGGCCTGGGAAAACACAACCCTTGCGGCACGACCAATCTGGTGGATGAGTTGGTGCTTACGAGAGTAGTAGCCTTGCATTGCGGAGAGTCGATTTACTTGGGGGGTTGGAGCACATCATGGGTTGAAAAGCGGAGCGTTTGATTTTGTTTGCAATATCTTTTGGGGGGCGTTGCTCTTTCAGACTCGGCGGGAAATCAAGGGTAGCGTGAGATATGTTATATCTGTACATCGTACTTAGAAATGGCGACCCTGACACTCGCAACTGCCCCGCCCTCATCTGACCTAAGGTACTTGTCAAACATTTGAACCGACAATTGCGCTTCGCAAGCAGTCCTTCCATTGCTTCTAGGTCCTTATCATGAACTAAGCTCAAGGACGACATCGCCAGTTGTCATTACGATGGCATCTCGAGGAAATTAAGGGAAACCAACCTCCTCCTTGATAGGAGGGGGGGCCTTCAGGTGTGTGTATAAGGCAGGAAGAAGAACGGATCCCATTTAAAACCTCACAACATGCGCCGTCGATTTTTGCGATGTACATTAAAAACTAGTTTTCTTTTGACCCAGAGGTCGTAGATGTCATGCCGTATTATATGAAGAGACGTTTCTATGTGCTGGGTATTCAAATGCCCCCGTGCCATGCATCTTTTCCTAAACCAAAACGCCGATGCTCAAGCAAAGCCACCAACCACCACTATGCGCACATTACACAACCCCGCCTTCCTACTTTACAATCCATCAACCAGCCAGTTTCCCAGCGACAGCACCCTCAAACAACACTCCTCGCATCGCGATCCAGTCTCGGCCGGCTAGCATCAGCCGCATTCTCCATCACCACCTTCTCATTCACGGCATTCGCCCCCTCCTCGTCCGACGAGTCAGCCGAGCCGGGCGGCGCGGGGTTGTTGTTGGCGGAGAAAGTGGGTGCGAAGGCGCTGCGGGCGCGGATCTTGTGGCCGTACAGCCAGAAAACGACGGGGATGGGGACCAGGGCCACCGCGATGCACCCCAGCAGCGTGGACGCCCACTGGATGCCCATGCCCTCGAACATGTAGCGCGAGAAGAGCGGGAAGCCGGCGCCGGCGAGCGAGCGCAGGAAGGTGTTGCCCGCGATGGCGGACGCCGCGAACATGAGGTACGCGTCGACCAGGTAGTTGAGCGACTGCAGGAAGATGGAGGCCAGGCCGAACCCGCTGAGCAGGCCCGAGAGGGTCGGCACGATCCAGTGGATGTCGGCGCGGTAGCCGGACCAGCCGAACCAGAAGAGCCCGCCGGCGAAGGCCACGCCGCCGGCGATGACGCTGGGCAGGCGCCACTCGGGGATGGGCACGCCGTTGTTGGCGGCCAGCTTGCGCTGGTACCAGGGCTGTTGGAGGAGCACCACGATGCCGGCGATGATCTGGCCCGTGACCATGCCGAAGAAGGTGAGGCCCGAGACGCCGGCCGACATGCGGTGCACGCCCTGGAAGACGAAGGGGTAGGCGGTCAGGAAGAGGTACAGCAGGCCGTAGATGAAGGCCATGTAGACCGAGATGAGGGTGACGATGGGTTCGGTGAAGAGCAGCCGCATGGGGCGCGAGAAGTTCTTGGTGACGAGCTCGCGCACGTCGATCTCGATCTCCTCCTGCTTGGCGTGGATGCCCCAGTTGAGGGTGCGGCGCCGCAGTTCGGCCGCCTTGCCGACCAGGATGGTGGGCGGGTATGTTTCCTCGAGGAAGAACAGATCCAGCACGAAGGCGAGGATGCCCATGAAGGAGACAATCCACGAGGTCCAACGCCAGCCGAGGTGCGACTCGACGATGAAGCCGCCGACGAAGGGCGCCAGGAGCGGGCCGGTGAAGACGGTCATGGAGAAGACGGTGATGGCGATGCCGCGGGTCCGGTTGTCGAACATGTCGGAGAAGACGGCAGCCACGACGGCGAGAGGGCAGGCACCGAAGAAGCCGGCGAAGAAACGGGTTATGAGAACCGTCTGGAGGTCCTTGGAGACGGCGTTGGCGATGTTAAAGATGAAGAAGCCGAACATGGAGAGGACCAGCGGCAGGCGGCGACCCTTGAGTTCGGAGAGAGGTGCCCAGAAGGTCGGGCCGGTAGCGAAACCGAGAACGTAGAAGGAGACACCGAGGAGGGAAACTTCGGAAGACACGCCAAACTCGCGGGCGACTGCGCCGGTCGCGGCGGAGAATATACTCGAGCCGAAGGCGGCGGTCATGGTGGTGAAGCCGAGCATAACAGCCGTGGCGATCCTATAGAACCCGCCGTTAGCTTTCTGTCACTGTTAAGGGGTAGAGAGGAGTTGTAGGGAGCGGTGTTGAACTCACTTCTTCTTCAGCGGCCAGTTCTGGGCGTGGAGAGGATCATCGGGCCCGTCGAACTCGACAACATAGTCCTCCTGGTTTGGTAGTAGTGGTGGGTATTCCTTGCCGGCACCGAAATTGGGTAGTGGCCTCTTCCATTCTTTCCCCCGAGCATCTCTCCCAACTGTTCCGCTATGTTGACTCCGTGCTGTCTGAATGCGGCTCAGTTCGGTGTTGTGGCGTTCCAGATCCCGTTGTGTCTCAACACGGTTCAACCCGGTCCCCCGCTGGGACGCCTCCGTGGACGAGCTGGACACAGACGACGCTGAGACCACCCGTTCGATTTCCTCGCTACGGCGTAGAGAAGCATCGTGTTCGACCGCCTCGAGAGCGCGGTCTACGTTGTCTTGTACCATTGGGCTGTCTTGAGTGACTGAATCCTAGTATCCTGGAAGGGTTGATGTTTCTATCCGGTGTATTCGTGTATTCAAGGGGGATATCAACAGCACAGCACACCGGCAGGCAAGCCAGCAAGAGTGAGAAGCAGTGGAACCCTGTATTTGATAGTAAGGAAGTCGATATAAAACCAAGGTTCGTCCCTAATGGAGTGGTAGCTCGAAGAGTGATGATGAAATTTGCCTCCTCTTGGGGGGCGTCCCCCTCCTAATAAAGAAGATCGATCTACACATCCCGGGCACTTGCTCACGGGCAAAAGAATAATGATTCATGGATTCGTCAGGGCAAGGGAACAAAAACTGGAGTCCACATTGAATGTTTGCCCATGCCAAGCGGTTCCGTCGGTGGTTCGGCCGGGTCCATGATGTGGCCTCGGCATTCGCGTTTTCCAGCCGGCATCCGTGATTACCAATTTGGGTCGCCGCATCCAACAGCGCTATCCTTTCTTTTACTGCATGGCATTGCTGGGCTGTTCAAAAAAAAAAATGGAGTTGATGGACCCGGCAACCTTCCTGCCGATGACAAGGTCAAGTTTCGAACCGCAGATGACAGACGGCAATAGAGCCGCGGGATGCTGCTATCTCCCGTCGCCGTCCTTCGCTTGTAAATTTTCATTATGGAATCCCAGCTCAGCGGTGCATTTGTCCCCGTTCATCTCCGCCAAGGCCCGCCGGTGACCCTCAATGACCCCATCCCGAAGCACCTAACAGCCCAAGAGTGGAGCGCAACTTCAGATCAGGAGAATGGCCACTGCATGCCTGGTCCATCAGAATGGGGCCAGATGCTTCGGTTGTTGTTGCTTAGTTTGCGGGTTTGTCCGTAGCCGTTACTCGTCATGGTGTTGAGCTCGCAGCATCGATCCGTAATGCATGGAGTATGGCTGACGTAGATTGCTTACTACTCTGCTTCGATCTGCCCCTCCTGACAAACACAGAATACAGATCTGTAATGGGCGGGATTCGGGTTTCGATGACAAGAAGCGACGCCCGTCTTAAGTCCGGGTCGTTGACTCGCTTTTGACGTAATCCCGCAGCGCAGCCACCATCGAGGGCGCCATGGCTTGCATCGTCCAATCAAGAGACAGGATGATCTGCCGTGGGAGGAAGTCGTCCCGCAAGGCTCGAAACCTCAGGGGCTTGCTGAACGGCGTTCCCGGTTGCGACTTTGGCCACCATCGGGAAATTTCTTCTTCCAATTTTTTTCTTCCATTCTTACTTTGCATCGGTGCCTGGCTGCCCAACAGGGCTGCTTGCGGGTGCCAAGGGAATGCGACGGGCCAGATTCCTTTTTCTTTGGAATTCCGCTGTCCGCTATCCGCCATCCGCGAGTTGCCGCTGGTGACCGAGAATAGCCTCGTTTACCGGTTTCCACTCTTACTGCCTCGGCACGCAGATCCAGCGGCGGAAAGCTTAACTTCACAACGGAGAACCCGCTTGTTGCGCATGGATGCATCGTGAAGATTCTAGGATCCACCAAAATGCAGGTTCGATGTACAAAGTATTTCAACGCACACCCCATCGGTCATCTTCCAGAAGACTCGCCGCTTCTTCCAAGCTCAGCCCTGCCGTTTCCGGGTAGAAGTTCCAGATCAACCCATACCCAACGGCGCATATTCCCGCATAGAGCACGAATGTCCAGGACGGCGTGAGCGCATCCATGAGCAGTAGGAAGGTCAGCCCTATGACAAAATTGGCTCCCCAGTTGGTTGCCGTGGCAATGCCGCTCCCAAGCGACCGCACGTTGAGCGCGAACAGCTCGCTCTGCATCCAGGGCACATTCCCCAATCCCAAGGCGTAACCAGCGACGTAGACCATGATGCTCACGAGAATGGTAATTGCCGCCCCCTGAGCAGGGGCGGCGGTAGGTTTGTCACCGGTCGAATCGACGGCAGCGAGCGTGATAAACGAGAAGCCGTGTGCTGCGAGGATGAGGCCCACCACCATGAACGGAATCGACCAGAGCAGAATGCGCCTCCTCCCGATACGGTCGATCAACAAGAGGGCCACAAGGGTGAAAGCGAAGTTGGTGACCGCCACGACCAACGAGGTGAGTGTCGGGATCGGGAATCCGAGCATCGTGAATATCGTAGCCGAGAAGTACATGAGCGAGTTCTACGCGGCTGGTCAGTATCTGGATCGCAGGCTGGGAGCCCAAGGGCACTCACAAACCCGCATAACTGCTGCAACCCCTGAAGTAAACAAGCAATGGCCAACGCCCTGCAATCTCTTCTCACCCCCAACAGCTCCCCGGCCGAGTCCAACCACGCAGCTTTCCCAGCCCCCCTCCCATTCCCTCGTAACCTCCTCCCCTCACTCTCATCCCTCACCTCAATCTCAATCCCCTTCACCGTTGCATCCACCTCCCTCCCCTTCCCCTCCCCCACAAGCACCCTCTCCACCACCTTCCTCGTCTCCCGCGCCCTCAGTGCCTCCATCAGCCACTTGGGGCGGGGCGAGGGAATCACAATGACCACCCCCTGGCATCGCCAACGGGGACCCACACTACGGAAGCTTACGCAGACGCGCCTTCGCCTTTTCCCCTAAAGTGGAGCGTGGATCGGCCCATGGGCTAGGCAACCCCC